AATGTTTACACGACGTTACGTTTTACAATTTTATTTTTTTTTGGCAATAATCGTAAAGTATTTTCTTTAGAAATAGTAGTGCAGCGGCTTTTCCATTGTTATTGATTGTGAATTAGCTGTGACATATCTGGGAATGCAAAAACTTTGCAGTAGGTTTTTCTGTTTTAAACTCTCTGCTATTTTGGCATTTTTGGTCTTTCGTTCTTCTTAACCCTTACCGTGGCTGTCGCAGGATATGTTGCACAGCATCTCAAGTTTAGTTGCATAGCTGTCGTGAGATATGTCATTTTTCAGGGTAGGGATATTCTGGAGTGTGATGAAAATTGCTCACTAAAAGCTCACATTACTCAGCACGCACAGGGTGTAAACATAATGATTTATTGAAACAAAAATTTATACAATAAATCAAATAGCCATTCTTTGTCTTAGAGGCATTCCCACATATTACAATGGCAGAGACAGCGAGATGCTCTCACATGCGGGGTGAAATAGGCGTATTCCTACACCACGTCCGAACGCGACGTGGGGAATTCCATTCTCTGTTGTGTCAAGGGGTGGTAGCTCCCGGTACCTCTACGGTTATTGTAGAATTGGTAAGGTCGTCTGGGAAAGGGATTGAACGTTGACCCCCTACCCCTGGGGGCGTTGCCTCTCGTAGAAAAGCCAAACGTGTTGATAGAGCTGAAAGCTCAGCAGTGAGATGAATGTTTGTTTGTGATCTTTCAGAAAAAGCGTGTGTGTTGTTCTCGAATGATCAGAACAGCCTACATATCTTCTTATCGAAGCGAACGACAAGGTTGCTATACTCACCCTCCAGGAAGTTGAACTGTGTTTAAAAATCGTGTACAACGATTGAATGTCACTGTTTAATAGTGTGTACTGTCCCTGTGGTCCCTGTGGCAGGGCTGCCAGAGCTTTAAGACCAGTGTTTGTGAATCTGGCTGATTTTGGGATTACTTTGAGGGTGGGCTTGCATTCAGCCTTTGTGCCCACTGAACTTGTCATTCACTTTACAGTAAGTTGGAATTTGAATGCGAGGCGGGCGGTCTCTCAGTGATTCGAATTGTCTCTGAATGTCCAAGAAAGCATTGTTGTAGACAATGGAACTTGGGTTCGGATTGGGCCCTATGCCCTCTGTTTGTTCATGAGTGTCCTGGCTACGTGTTGGGGTATTAGCTTGGTCTATAGAACTGTCAACTGTGTGTGTTTGGGACTGGGGTTGACACTCACCAGGGGGTAAAGAATCGAGGTCGGATTTGATATGGGAGAGGCGGTCCGTTATTGCTTGTAGAGCCTTAGTAAAGTCCTCAAAATTTAGATTCTTCACCTGACATAATTCAAGTCTAGGAGGAGGGAAAACCACAGTCACAGCAAGTTCAAACAATGAATTTGAAGGCACAAAACTTAGCATCAATCTCTGGAATGAAGCTCCGAGCATCTGCTTTGTGGGAATGCACTGAGGCAAAGACAATGGAGCACTACTGCTGCTTACGTAGGAGTGTGCCATATAAAGTAGTCCCTGTTCATGCTGGTAACAAATTTTACTGCGTGTGCCCAGTTTT